GCTGACATAGTTTACTGAAGATGACAAATATTTCTCAGACACAATGCATCTGGAAACCAATATTGAACAAATAGTGGAGGTATCAGAGCATCTCAAAAAAAGGGTTGCAATCATCTTTTATAATGGGAAGCATTAGGCAACTTAAATATGGAAGTCACTGCCAGCTTCCCAATAATATTATTTGTGATAAAATTCCAATCTTTGTCTGAGTTTTAGTCCATCTCTTTAGTTTCTACCATCTCTTTCTTCATCCAGGACAGAACAAGATGGATGCAGGAACTGACACGACAACGTATGATTATGATCCTGACGTCCAACCATGCCAAAAAGCTGATGTCAAAAAATTTGCATCCCTGTTTCTGCCACCACTTTATTCTTTGGTGCTGATATTTGGCCTGCTGGGCAATGCGCTAGTTGTGCTGATCCTGATAAAATACAAGAAGCTGAGAAGCATGACTGACATCTATCTGCTGAATCTGGCAATTTCTGATTTACTCTTTATTCTTTCCTTACCATTTTGGGCTTATTATGCAGCACGTGAATGGGATTTTGGAAATGCAATGTGTAAAATTCTTTCAGGGGTCTATTATGCTGGCTTCTATAGTGGAATTTTTTTCATAATACTTTTGACAATAGATAGATATCTGGCCATTGTCCATGCAGTGTTTGCTTTAAAAGCTAGGACAGTTGCCCATGGTATCTTCACAAGTGTTTTCATTTGGGGTGTTGCAATATTAGCCTCTCTTCCAGGGTTTTTATTTCACAGTGTTCAAAAGGAAAGTGATCATTGGACCTGCAGCTCTCATTATCCATTAGATTCCATAATCAAATGGAAGGAATTCCTGATTTTAAAGATGAACATCCTGGGACTTGTCGTTCCACTGGTCATTATGATCTTCTGCTATGCAGAGATTATAAAAACATTACTGAGATGTAGGAATGAGAAAAAACATAAGGCAGTCAGGCTTATTTTTATCATAATGATTGTTTATTTTATCTTCTGGACACCATTCAACATTGTTGTTCTCATATACACGTTTCAAGATTCATTTTTCCTAAATAACTGTGAGAGCAGCAGTCAGCTGGAGCTAGCAATCCAAGTGACAGAAGCAATTGCAATGATTCACTGTTGTATCAACCCCATGATCTATGCCTTCGTTGGTGAAAAGTTTAGGAAATATCTTTATATCTTTTTCCAAAAACACATTGCAATCTACCTCTGCAAACACTGTCCAGCTCTTCATGGTGATAAATTAGAACGGGTTAGCTCCACATGCACCCCTTCAACTGCAGAGCATGATGTCTCCATTGGTTTGTAACGTGCATTAGAAATGAAGTCAATAAAAGTTTCATTGTCCTTTTTACTTAAAAGATTGTGCAATTAAACAAAACTCTTATAGTCATCGCATTAAGACCTGGACAGTTACCAATCACAGTAATTAATTTTTTGTGACATTGCAGTATTTCTCCTTTTTCATACAGGGAATATTAAAAATCCCACAGGAAAATTCAAACACTACAGTTTGTTAAGTATCCACTGTAACATGGCACCCAATGTAGTATGATTTTGCTCTTTAAACCTGGACTCTGATCAAATAACTATTTTCTCAGGAAATATAATTCAGAAGATGGCTTGAAGAGGGCAAGGAACAAGGTTTTTCTTGTCTCAAGAAAATATATACAAAACCACAAGAAAAACTTTAGGAGGAAGACATCCATGGGAAGACATTATAGCCATTTACCTGGGGCTCGATGCACCTTTTTACTTCAATATTCAACATTAATGGAACATTTCAGGAAAAAAAAAACTTTGCAGCAAAATCATAAAAGGTTCTAAAATTCCCATGAATTTTATAAGTTAGCTTTTTTTTCATAATATAATCAAGTACCTATCTGAGGTGGGAAGGGTTTATTTACAATTACACTGATACCTTGTTTTTCCTATAGGGTTTGAAGAGCTGTTAAATCTTCATAAAACAGAGATTTTGATAAACAGGGATTGTGCACACTTCTGTTAAGGGATATGACTGACCTTCTGTTAACCAGAATTGTGTTAAGCAGGGGTATCCTATTAGCTGGTGGCTGTCTGTTTAAAATAATCCTTTCCCCTTGACTATTGCATTCAGTTATTTTGATTTCACATGAGTAAGAGCTGGCAGGATCAGATCCCAATATCTTAGCACTTACACATTGCTTTGCAGCCTCACACCTCTGTACATAACTAGTTATTCATCCTGAGAACAGCCCTGTGAGGTAAATATCTGCAGTATTACAAAGTGAAGGCAGAAAATTACTCTCACAGTAAACTTCCTTTTATGGAAAAAAATATTTTCTGCACGTTTGCACTAATGTGAAAGCACCTTTTTAATACCAAATGCATGTCAATGTTATGTTTATAGATCTATTTTAGTTTTACTGAGCTTTCTCCATTTCCATTTTTATTGGGGTGTGAATTCTGATGCTACGATTTTATGCTTCTTTCTCTTTCCACATGAATGCAAGTTATTAATAAAATCATTGTTTGAAAAGCTCCATATACTGAATGTCTCTCATTGTCTTTGTGGGAAAGAGGCTTCAGCTCTGGATCCTGGGAAAGTGCAGGGATTGCTCCTTACATGGACACCAAGGGAACGCACATAACCACAAAGGGATTGGAGAGGAAGTGGAGTCATGGACCAGAACCCTCCCCCACACCAGCCCACAGGGAAATGAAACCTACTGGGTATAGAGCTGGTGCGTTATCCTAAAAGATGTTGCAGCTGGGACAGCCCCCATTCACCGAGAAATTTGAGGAGGGATTTGGTACTTGACCTTTGAAAATAATTTTTTATTTTATTTTAGGGGGCAAATATCAGTTTGGGTGGGTATTATAAAGCAGATGGAGTGAAAGTGAGTGAGGAAAAATTATATAGCACTGAGGAGCAAACTGGATTCTCCCACAAGCCAGCTCTGGCCACTGTATGATCACTTTGTGCCGCTTAAATGGTATAAGGTGACATTAGCCAACCAGAGAATCTGGCCCTTAAAGTTTTATATCTACAGAGTATTAAGTATTTAAAATTAAACATGAATAAGTGCCTGTTGCTCTACATCCCTCTCCATGTTCCCTTCTCTGTCCCACCATTCCTCTGCCTCCCCTTCATGCTCTTCCCAATCTCCCGCACCTTAGTTCCATGCATCCCAGTCCTCTGTACCCCCGCTTCATCCCCTCTCAATCTCCTGCCAATCTCAATATATTCCTCCTCCCTGACAGCCTCTCACTCCAAGACCAGGTAACATGGTTCTCTGACATCCACTCCCTGCCCCAGTGAGTCTCAAACTTTCTGCTATCATGCCTCACTTTTACTGAAGCAAATGAGCTCAGTCCCCACCTTCCGGTGAGTTGGAGACAACATTCACATATAGCAATAATTAATGCAATACTAGAAGGGAAAAGGATATAAACTCACACTAGCATTTACTTTGCAACATTTCAGTGAGATGAATGAGCCTGAAGAGCAACTGGGGACTCGGGAGAGAAATGGGCGTAAGGGAGGTACAAGCTGGGGATAAAGGAACTCACAGGGAAGAAGCTGGGGGTGCCGAATGGGTGTGGGGGGACTGAGACTCCGACTCCTCTGTGCCAGCAAATTGTTGAGATAGCTGGTGGCAGATGCACAGGAAATCTAACAGAAAATACCATGCAGTAATTTGCTATTTTTTCAAGATATTCAAAAAGTAGGATATGAGTTTCAGGCCCCACCCAGACTCCACCGTGGGGCTGGCCCTATGTTTTTGGAAAGCCTGCCCTAACCACAGTCCACATCCTTTCCAGTGCACAACTCTCCTCACTATGCCCCTTCCTGGACTCCTGTCATTCGACATTTACTATCTCTTTAGTGATAACTAGATGGATCTAGCTTGATGAATTGATGACCTACATTGATAGACCTCTGATCACATATTTTTTCATATATACGAACTGGTGTGGTTACTGGGAAAAACACAGGTCTGTATGTTTATTTCACTGTGATCTCAGATTACAAAGCTTAATAAGTAAAACATCAAAAACCAACAGTTTTGGAAGGGATATAAACTCTTATGCAGGACATAAACCAAGCTCTAATTATTGAGGTTTAGGAAGAAATGTTACCTATGGGCAGGTTTCTCCTCATTTGCCCACCACAAGCTTTCTTGCACCTTCCTCTGAAGCATCAGGTGCTGGCCACTGCTGGAGACAGGATACTTGACTAGACAGACCATAGGTCGTCTGATCCGGGCTGGCAATTCCTATGTTTCTAGAAAGAGACAAGCCTCTTTTCTTTCATGTTTCCTACTTTTTTCATCTTGAAAAACAAAATCCTTCCCTTACTTGGGAAAAACTCGACACTGGTGGCAGATTTGGAATTGCTTGTGATTGTTTGTGAATATGTTAAAGATCATTTCTAACGGTAAGTTTGATTATAGTAAGGGGGTTTATTGTATGGATACGTGGGGTAAATTCAAGAAGAGATTGACTGCCCTAGGCAGGAAAGAGTATTATGGCTCCAGATATTTATAAATCCCATATTTATATGGCTCCCTCTATTTATAAACCCCTCCCATTCCCCATGAGTTCCCTTTGGTTCCACTCTCAGAAAGAGACTCTGGGTGTGTTCTGCCAATCTGCTTGCTCACAATGGAAATCACCAAAGTAACTTCAAATAGCTAATGAACACACCTAGTGCTTGCCACACCCAATTTCTGGATATCATGCCTGCCTCTGGCAAGTGTGGCACAGAGAATCCCCCAAATGAAAAACAAGAAATTATGTATCCTTCTAACTCTTTCTTCCCTTATTCACACCACTGCATGCTGCAATGCTAAGAGTGGGTTACAAACAAAACCAAACTCTTTCTATAATTATAGCTTTGGATTGTGAAACCTAAGTCCCACCACTAGGATTTCAAAATCTATACATCTGTGCTTTAACGCACTTTTTATAGGAGCATTTGAAAGTCCTTTTTAGAAAAGAAGAACTGCTTAATTTTTTTAAAGTAACAATGATTTGTTCGCTCAAAGTCTGCTAAACGTATGAATATTGTATCCTTCTTCACACAGGAAGGGGTGTATGCCTGCCCTGTATTTGTTATGTGCAAAACTGATTTATGCAGTGCAGCCGGTCTAAAAGACTAAGACATCAGTGGCACTTCTTAGACATTTGGTAAGTTATCTTTCATCTGTTTTTAGTATTTATACATTTATTAGTTGCTTATGTAAATTAAGAGGTAACACAAATGCCTATATCTGTAAACACAGTATAGTATCTGCTAAGTCATTTGTTAGTGGATTCACCTATAAAAATAACAATTGAGAAGGGCAGGGGGAATATACTGGAATGAATTATTTTAAAGGGATATAACAATTAGAAGTGTTCAGAAGGGAAACCAAATAAGCAATGAGGCAAATTTCCAGGGGCTGTAGTGGATGAGATTGCAATGGAATAAGATATCTCTGTAACAATTGAATTGAACAGGAAAGATTTTTCTGTCAAAAATTGATACTAGTTGTATCAAGAAGAAAAATCTGTTTTGAAAACACAATAATGGACCAGATTTGCAACTGGTATAAACTGGTGTAGTTTCACTGAAGTCAGTGGAGCTACATGGATTTATATAAGCTGAGGAACTGCTCCGATACTGGGAAAATATTGGTTTGAAATCTGAGAATGTGAGCACATTAAAAATAAAATCCTTCAGACTTAATCTAGAATATATAATCTTTTCAGCACACCATACGAATGGTCTGATTTTACAGTCCTTCACAGTGATATGAAATCAGTTTTGGTTTAATAAAGATTGTAGGATTCAGTCCTGACTCCAAGATGCCAAGCGCACAACTCCTGTCAGAATTAATGGAAATTGCATTCCTAAGTACCAATTTACTATTGAATATTAAAAGATGATCCCCTTTATGTCCAGAAGAGAGGAGAATCTATCTGGCTAAGTCATATTTACACCTATTTCAGAATGACTGCAGAAACACTGGTATTGTAATTTAAACGCTGTGTGTGATGTGACCTATTTACATTCAATATGTATTTCTACAGGAAGTCCCGTGTAATTTAGCCATTTACTGTGAAGTTTTACTCCACATTCTAACATTTAAATTTTTAAATCTTTGCCATTTTTTTTCAAAATAGCTCTGATCTGAACATTTCCGTGAAACTATTATCTGGCTTTGCTGATTTTTGTGTATGCTTAAGGCATGGAAGGCTTTTTAACTCAAAAGCAATAACGACTGGGTTAACTTGCACCAGACAAACAGAATTTTTGATAGACTGACTGCAAATTTCTGGGAAGAAATCGTAGTCTGTGGTCATGACTATACTTATACCCCATATTGTAGTGCTTTTCATCCATAGGTCATATAGGAGTTTGTGGGTATGTGGGTACCTTCATCTCTCTTTTATAGATGGGGAAATTGATGCACAAAGAGGTGAAATGACTTGCCTAAAATCAAACAGCTGGTCAGTGGTAGAGCTAGAAATCAAACCCAGGTCATCTGACTCCTAGTCAAGTGTCTTAGGTACTAGATAACAGTTTCCTAAAAGAGTGGGAGAAATTGCTTCATGGGATACTGGATATAGGGATATGGTAATCCTGCTCTTTTAAAAATTGGTAGGCACCCAACGATGGTTATCAGTATCTGATGGATAGATACCAACCTCAGATTCAGATACTGTGGAGAGAGGTTTCTGAAGCAAGGAAAGGAGCTGGGCTAGTAGGAGGATTTTACTGGAACCAAGCAGAAAGGAGGGAGAGATAACAGGATTTAGGCAGTGAGGACAGGTTGGGGAGAAGAAGACAAGCACCAAGGTGATGTTCTCAGGATCCAGAGACAAAGTGGAGGGAGAAAGTGGGAGCAAGATACAGACACATCACAAGGATGAGGCAGCAAGAACTAGCTTTGATGACAAGGACAGAGTAGGGGCTATAACTAAAGAGTTTGCCACGATATCGCTGTTTTGATGACATTTCAGAATCAGATTTGTATCAATCTAACAAAATGGCCAGACACTTGTACAAATCAGTTCCAAATCAGTTATTTGTCACATCTCTATTTGCTATCAATACACGCTTAGGATAAAGACACATGTCCACTATTTCTAACCAGTCTCAAATTCCATCACCTATTTCACAGTACCAGGGCCGGTGGAAGGATGTTTTGTGCCCTAGGCGAAACTTCCACCTTGCGCCCCCCCATCCCTGAGCCCCCGCCCTGAGGTGCTCCCTCCCCACGGCAGCTCCCCCCCTCTGCCCTGAGGCGCCCCCCCTGCGGCAGCTCCCCACCCTGAGGCGTCCCCCCGTGGCAGCTCCCCACCCCCCCGAGGCGCCCCCCCATGCCCCAGCTCACCCCTGCCCCGCCTCCTCCCCGAGCATGC